TGATATTTTGACCCCGAACTTTGGCAAAATGTTTCCTATAGTTTTCTCCAGTTTTCCCCAAAGTTTCAGCCAGATTAGAACACTCTCCGAGTTTTCGCAGAGTTTTTTTTCCTTTTTTGCCGACTCCCTGAATAACCCCATAATAGAGTTTTTACGGTAATCGGTATTTGGGATTGCTCAGCCTAAAAATCTAGATTAAAACCTAGATTTTGGTTCTGCTAAAACCGCAAACTGTCCTATTATCCTCCAGATGACACCACCCAACACTCGGATCTTCTCGCCCGTTTCCCACACGATCATCTCGTCGAAACGATCACCCTCCACTGCGAACGACGTCCCAATCAGTTGACCCAACTCAACGAAAAACCCCTATTTCCAACGGAAAAAGTGATTTGGGACGAGAATATTGTCCCCTATGAGAGCTACACAGGAGACGGAGTACTGGCACTCGACAAGCTGAATTTGCAGTTTCTGACACTTCACGACTATCTGTTGAGGAACTTCAATTTGTTCCAGTTGGAATCTACTTGTGAGTTGAGCTCTGGAACGTCTAAAAGTTCGATTGTTGGCCGAATTTGGCTCTGAAAATGCTTGAAAAAACTTATTTTCGGCTCAGCAATCATCGAGAAAATTTGCTAAAAAAATTGATTTTAAAAGGCAAAAATCGCCTCGAAAAACACGAATTTAGACCTTGAAAATTGATAAAAATGAGCTAAAAATCATTAATTTCAGCTTTCCCTGCCTCAAAATCGCTCAAAAATGATTTTGGCTCGAAAAGTGGTTGAAAACCCTAATTTCTAGTCATGATAACATTTTACAGACCCTAAAATTCAATTTTCCAGACGAAATCCGCCAAGACCTAGAAGACGTGCTCTTCCGAATGAAGCCGTTCCAACACGAGACGCGAAACGAGACGGTGTTCGCCGGCTGGGCCAAAATGGCACTTCCCATTGAGCATTTTCAAATAACGGAGGTCGCCAAACCGCTGGTCGGTGAGAAATCGCCGGCTGTCGTCCGTGGAGTCGTCACTGTCAACATTGGAAGACGTCAGGACATTCGACAAGAGTGGGAGAATCTCAGAAGACATGATGTCTGCTTTTTGGTGACGTGTAGGTGAGTGTGGCACTGCTAAATAAGTTAAAAACGAAATTTTGCTGAAAAAATGACCCAAAAAGCCAGAGAAAGAGACGAAAATTGATGGTAAATGGTTCAAAAATCATGAAAAACGGTCCGAAAAGCATGAAAAATGGCTCAAAAATCATGAAAAATGGCTCTAAAATCATGAAAAATGATCCAAAAATCATGAAAAATGGCTCTAAAATCATGAAAAATGATCCAAAAATCAAGAAAAATGGTCCAAAAATCATGAAAAATGGTCCAAAAATCATGAAAAATGGTCCAAAAATCATGAAAAATGGTCCAAAAATCATGAAAAATGGTCCAAAATTAACCAAAACCTGATTATCCCCGTTTCGCAGATCCCGTCGAAGCGCCACCGGTCTCAAATTCGACGTCCGTCGCCCATTCGCCGAGCAAATCGAGGTTCTATCCGTTCGTGGATGTGATGTCGAAGGAATGCTCGACACCGAGGGACACCTCCTCGAAGAGTACACGAGCTACGAGAAGAAGGCCAAGATTCCAGGCGATGTGCGGAAATTCCGACTGCTGTTGGACCCGAATCAATATCGTCTGGACATGGAGCAAAGTGATAAGAGTGATATCTACGATAGCTTCAATCTGCTCGTCCGACGCGATTCGAAGACCAACAACTTCAAGGCGGTCCTCCAGACGATTCGAGATCTTCTGAATACGGAATGTGTGGTGCCCGACTGGCTGACAGATGTGATTCTGGGGTATGGCGAGCCGGATAGTGCACACTATTCGAAACTATCCAGTGCGGTGCCCGAGCTAGACTTCAACGACACATTCTTGTCACTGGATCATGTTAAGCAGAGCTTCCCGGGGTATAAAATTGAGACGACTTGTGGAGATTCTGACGTCGTCCCACCGTTCAAACTTCGATTCGCCGAGCTGGAACGTCGTCAGGATGTGGAAGCCAAGGAGGCGGAGCTTCGAACGATTACTGTAACGCCGTTGGTGCGGAAGAAGAACACACCGTACGCCTATTCGCCGAACAAGAACCAGGTGCAGTTCACGCCGGCGCAAGTGGAAGCGATCAAGTCGGGAATGCAGCCGGGGCTGACGATGGTTGTGGGACCGCCGGGTAGGATTTTATTGATTTTTTGAGTGGAAAATGACTGAAAATCGTTTTGAAATTGCTTGAAATTGCTCAAAATTGATAGAAAATCTCACAAAAATTGGCTATCACGCACATTTTTGAAGCTGAAAATGTAGTTTGTAGTGCAAGTTTGACTGAAAATTGGTGAAAATTGGCTTAAAATCAGGAATTTACTAAAAAAAATGACTCAAAAATCCAGGAAAATGGCTAAAATTGATAGAAAATGATCCAAAAATTAAAGATTTTTGAATTTTAGGGATTACTGTAGATTTGGGATATTTGAGATTCCGGAATTTCTGTATTTTTCTTTTCAGTTTTTGTTGTTCATATTTTGAGAATTACTGTAGATTGGGTTACGGTAATCAGGGGATTATTGTAGAAAATGAGCAATTTGAGTAGACTAATTTAGGGTTGGAATTCCGAAAGCTGAGGATTACTGTAGACTTTCAAAATTCCAAAATTTAGAAATTTACTGTAACTACAGTAATCCTTTAAAATTTCTGAAAAAAATTCACAGTTTTGTAATTTTTGATTTTTCGAAAATTCTCGAAATTCTGGAATTTTTGGAGTTTTCGAATTTTTGACTTTTTGAATTTTCAGAATTTCAGAAGTTCAAAATTTTCGGATTTCTGGAATTTTCGATTTTTCGACTTTTGGATTACTGTAGTTTTAGAAAATGAGCAATTATGTCCCTATAAATCGAATTCCAATATTTCCAGGAACGGGTAAAACCGACGTCGCCGTGCAAATCATCTCCAACATCTACCACAACTGGCCGAATCAACGAACCCTCATCGTCACGCACTCCAACCAGGCTCTCAATCAGCTCTTCGAGAAGATCATCGCCCTCGACGTCGACGAACGTCATCTGCTTCGTATGGGTCATGGAGAGGAGGCTCTGGAGACGGAAAAGGACTTTTCGAGATACGGACGCGTCAACTACGTGCTCAAGGAGCGTCTTAGCCTTATGAATAGCGTTGAGAAGCTCGCCAAGGCTTTGAAAGTGGTCGGAGACGTCGCGTACACATGTGAGAACGCTGGATACTTCTTTCGATTCTCGGTGTGCCGTGCGTGGGAGGAGTTCTTGGCTCAGACGAGTGCAAAGGGACTGGCTCACG